TTTGAATTGACAGGAAGCAGAAATGCTGAGACAGTTCAGAAGAAACATCACCAGAAGCCACAGCAACAGCAAAGGAAACTTATATGGAAGTATTTTTGAATTTCTCCCTTCTTTCCCCTGGCCCCGGCTGACTCTAACATAACTAACCTTCCCCTTCCCTTTCCCCCTCATTTGTCTTCCTGAATTCACTGTCATTGTTTTCTGATTTTTCAACAAATTGTGTTGTACTGATTTTATTCACTTGAATTTTTGTGATTTGTTTCATTGTTTTAAAGTCTTACTAATCTTGTGCCAGTTTATACTTTCAGGGACTTGGAAGAGGAACAACGATGGAGGAGCAAGGTCGACCAACAGAGGAAGACGAGTCCATTTCCCATCTCTATACAACAGCCAACATGGCCCAAAGTGGTAAGTTACTTTTCGTGATTTGTTGCATTCTTTTGAAGTTTTACTAACATTGTGCCAGTTTTGTACTTTCAGGGACTCAGAAGAGAACAACGATGGAGGAGCAAGGTCGACCAACAGGGGAAGACGACATGACGAGTCCATTTCCCATCTCTATACAGCAGCCAACATGGCCCAAAGTGGTAAGTTACTTTTCGTGATTTGTTGCATTCTTTTGAAGTTTTACTAACATTGTGCCAGTTTTATACTTTCAGGGACTCAGAAGAGGAACAACAATGGAGGAGCAAGGTCGACCAACTGAGGAAGACGAGATGACGAGTCCATTTCCCATCTCTATACAGCAGCCAACATGGCCCAAAGTGGTAAGTAACTTTTCGTGATTTGTTGCATTCTTTTGAAGTTTTACTAACATTGTGCTAGTTTTGTACTTTCAGGGACTCGGAAGAGAACAACGATGGAGGAGCAAGGTCGACCAACAGGGGAAGATGAGATGACGAGTCCATTTCCCATCTCTATACAGCAGCCAACATGGCCCAAATTGGTCAGTTACTTTTTGTGATTTGTTGCATTCTTTTGAAGTTTTACTAACATTGTGCCAGTTTTATACTTTCAGGAACTCGGAAGAGGAACAACGATGGAGGAGCAAGGTCGACCAACAGAGGAAGACGAGATGACAAGTCCATTTCCCATCTCTATACAGCAGCCAACATGGTCCAAAGTTGTAAGTAACTTTTCGTGATTTGTTGCATTCTTTTGAAGTTTTACTAACATTGTGCCAGTTTTATACTTTCAGGGACTGGGAAGAGGAACAACGATGGAGGACCAGGGTTGACCAACAGAGGAAGACGAGATGACGAGTCCATTTCCCATCTCTATACAGCAGCCAACATGGCCCAAAGTGGTTAGTAACTTTTCGTGATTTGTTGCATTCTTTTGAAGTTTTACTAACATTGTGCCAGTCTTATACTTTCAGGGACTGGGAAGAGGAACAACGATGGAGGAGCAAGGTCGACCAACAGAGGAAGACGAGATGACGAGTCCATTTCCCATCTCTATACAGAAGCCAACATGGCCCAAAGTGGTTAGTAACTTTTCGTGATTTGTTGCATTCTTTTGAAGTTTTACTAACATTGTGCCAGTTTTATACTTTCAGGGACTGGGAAGAGGAACAACGATGGAGGAGCAGGGTCGACCAACAGAGGAAGACAAGATGACGAGTCCATTTCCCATCTCTATACAGCAGCCAACATGGCCCAAAGTGGTAAGTAACTTTTCATGATTTGTTGCATTCTTTTGAAGTTTTACTAACATTGTGCCAGTTTTATACTTTCAGGGACTGGGAAGAGGAACAACGATGGAGGAGCAAGGTCGACCATTAGAGGAAGACGAGATGAAAAGTCCATTTCCCATCTCTATACAGCAGCCAACATGGCCCAAAGTGGTTAGTAACTTTTCGTGATTTGTTGCATTCTTTTTTAAGTTTTACTAACATTGTGCCAGTCTTATACTTTCAGGGACTCGGAAGAGGAACAACGATGGAGGAGCAAGGTCGACCAACAGAGGAAGACGAGATGACGAGTCCATTTCCCATCTCTATACAGCAGCCAACATGGTCAAAAGTGGTTAGTAACTTTTCGTGATTTGTTGCATTCTTTTGAAGTTTTACTAACATTGTGCCTGTTTTATACTTTCAGGGACTGGGAAGAGGAACAACGATGGAGGAGCAGGGTCGACCAACAGAGGAAGACGAGATGACGAGTCCATTTCCCATCTCTATACAGCAGCCAACATGGCCCAAAGTGGTAAGTAACTTTTCGTGATTTGTTGCATTCTTTTGAAGTTCTACTAACATTGTGCCAGTTTTATACTTTCAGGGACTCGGAAGAGGAACAACGATGGAGGAGCAAGGTCGACCAACAGAGGAAGACGAGATGACGAGTCCATTTCCCATCTCTATACAGCAGCCAATTTGGCCCAAAGTGGTAAGTAACTTTTCGTGATTTGTTGCATTCTTTTGAAGTTTTACTAACATTGTGCCAGTTTTATACTTTCAGGGACTCGGAAGAGGAACAACGATGGAGGAGCAGGGTCGACCAACAGAGGAAGACGAGATGACGAGTCCATTTCCCATCTCTTTACAGCAGCCAACATGGCCCAAAGTGGTAAGTAACTTTTCGTGATTTGTTGCATTCTTTTGAAGTTTTACTAACATTGTGCCAGTTTTATACTTTCAGGGACTGGGAAGAGGAACAACGATGGAGGAGCAAGGTCGACCAACAGAAGAAGACGAGATGACGAGTCCATTTCCCATCTCTATACAGCAGCCAACATGGCCCAAAGTGGTAAGTAACTTTTCGTGATTTGTTGCATTCTTTTGAAGTTTTACTAACATTGTGCCAGTTTATACTTTCAGGGACTCGGAAGAGGAACAACGATGGAGGAGCAGGGTCGACCAACAGAGAAGACGAGATGACGAGTCCATTTCCCATCTCTATACAGCAGCCAACATGGCCCAAAGTGGTAAGTTACTTTTCGTGATTTGTTGCATTCTTTTGAAGTTTTACTAACATCGTGCCAGTTTTATACTTTCAGGAACTCGGAAGAGAAACAACGATGGAGGAGCAGGGTCGACCAACAGAGGAAGACAAGATGACTAGTCCATTTCCCATCTCTATACAGCAGCCAACTTGGCCCAAAGTGGTAAGTAACTTTTCGTGATTTGTTACATTTTTTTGAAGTTTTACTAACATCGTGCCAGTTTTATACTTTCAGGTACTCGGAAGAGGAACAACGATGGAGGAGCAAGGTCGACCAACAGCAAAATACAGGATGACGAGTCCATTTCTCATCTCTATGCAGCAACCAATATGGCTCAAGGTTGTAAGTAACAAATTGATTATTTAAATGAAGTTTGTCATTTGTTAGGGAATGTAAGTGATTCTCCTTTGATGTGTTTGTTTTCTCTTTTTAAGCAGAAGAAATTTGGGGCTGACCAAGATCCTGAAGTGAAGAGCAGTCCGTCTCCCATTTAACAGCGTTCATGAGCAGAAAGTGCAGTAAGATTCATACTTGACCTCTGAGCACCTTTTCCCAATATTATGGCTTTCTAATTGATGTTGGCTTTTTCAGGCTTTGACCTCTTGAGTTTTAATTGACAGGAAGCAGAGATAGCCACCTCTGAAGGTCAGTCCGGAGTGTTTGCTGCATTCAGAAATTATGGGGTGTATAGTAGTTGTAAGTAGCGTTACAAAGGTGTTTCTTAGTCTTAGGTTTAGTTTGTATAGTATTTCCTGTAGGTGCAGTTGTGTTGTAGTTTGAGTTAGTAAGTAGGCTTTAGTTGATAGTTAGACAGCTTAGAGGAGTGTAGGTTATTATTGTAATTAAGGTATTTGTTAGTTAGTGCATGATTAGTGCTTGTGGTGGATAGGTTTGCATGATTAACACCCTAACAAGCAGGGTTCTCCATGAGCTGTTTTACTGTGTTGGTCCCAACACGGAAAAATGTTCTCCGACACAGTAAAGATTCAAATTTTATATGTGCGACACATTAAAAATTTGCTGACACAGTAAGATCTGTGATAATAAAAAAAATTGAAACATACACAGTGTTCCAGCTAGGATCTGAAAATGGAGGGGTGCAATAGAAGGGCACTTTTCCGCGACATACGGTGATACCGTTGTCGCAAGTTTTTCTTACAAAAATTATAATTACAGATTACAAATTCTCTCTATCTGAAACATAATTGATCAAACAATTCTACCGTCTTTCAATTCTATACGATATCTAGATCACTTAATTATGCTTTCACCTTGCATAATCAATTATTTCCTAGACCCTCAATGGACTTGACGCATGAAGGAACAACGACAAAAAATTGGATTTCAAACTTCCATGTAATGCTTAATTGGTACTAGTAGTTGCAATTAAAGTACATTGTATAATTTTTAAAAATATATTTAAATGTCTTTTCTATAGAGCCATGGCTCTAGAATTATGTTTGCAATGTAAATCAAACATAACACTCTACCAAAATCATTTACTTGATGTAAATAAATAGTTTTCAATTTTCAAGGAACTTTTAAAAGTATTTTACTATTCTGAAGTCTCTTTTTTTGTAATTCCTTAATTCGATCAATAAAATTGACAAAAAAATTATGACAAATTTCCTTTAAAAAATTGTAAGTAGTTCAACTTTTTAGACAAGAATTTCCTCTGCATTTCACAACATGTGCTAATATGTTCGACCATACTATTTTTGTAACGAATTGGTGATTTTTTTTTTTTTTTAATTGTGTGCATTTATTCTTAAGTAATTATAATGAATAGTGAGTCAGTTGCAAATTTGATCGCTAAAATACCGTGAAATTTTAGTGCTTTGCGTAAACTCTGCAAACACAGTAAAATTTCAAACAATGGAGAACCCTGAACAAGTTACAAGCTACTAAAACTACTAACGTCTGCTAAATGTTGTGTGACGCGTCTAGTGTGTTGGTGTTAGTGTCTGTGTGCTTGTCACCTCTCGCTTTCAGCCATCACCGCTGGCTAGCAGCAATGCGAAAAGGGGGAAGAAATTCTAATGACTTTTCCTGCCAGTACATAGCCTCTCCACAACAAGTCCTATGCGATGCCTCCACGTGGAAGCAGACGGATACTGGGTATCATTTTGTCCCAGGCTAAGTTCGCAAGGACGCACGGGAAGATGAGTCTCAAAAGCATTGGTAAACATCTTATATAGGATCTCTCCTGATCACAAACCCAATTTAGTAGTAGAATCAATTGATATAAGTGCTGGTTTTTAAAAGAAGTGAACCTTTGTTTGTTTTATGTCTTTGTCATCTTTTTAGCTCACCTGAGCCAAAGGCTAAAAGTAAAGTGAGCTTTTCTGATCACATTTTGTCCGTCATCTGTCCGTCCGTCCATCTGTAAACTTTTCACATTTTCGACTTCTTCTCAAGAACCACTGGGCCAATTTTGACCAAACTTGGTACCAAGCATTCTTGAGTGAAGGGAAATTTAAATTGTTAAAATGAAGGGCCAAGTCCCCTTACAAGGGGAGATAATCAAGAAAAGACAAAACTAGGGTGGGGTCATTAAAAAATCTTCTCAAGAACCACTGGGCCAGAAAAGCTGAAACTTCTGTGGAAGCATCCTGGGGTAGTGTAGATTCTAAATTGTTCAAATCATGACCCACGGCGGTTGGGCGGAGTCACAATGGGGAATCAAATTTTTACATAGAAATATATAGGAAAAATCTTTGAAAATCTTCTGCTCAAGAACCAATGGGCCAGAAAAGCTGAAACTTGTGTGGAAGCATCCTGGGGTAGTGTAGATTCTAAATTGTTCAAATCATGACCACCGGGGGTAGGGCGGGGCCACAATGGGGAATCAAAGTTTTACATAGAAATATATAGGAAAAATCTTTGAAAATCTTCTTCTTAAGAACCACTGGTCCAGAAAAGCTGAAACTTATGTGGAAGCATCCTGGGGTAGTGTAGATTTCAAATTGTCTAAATTTTGATCAGTGGGGTAGGGTGGGGTCACAATATGTGTTACAAGGGGGAAATCTGGTAAAGAACAGAATGGTCAAAGCTTCTCAGGTGAGCGATGTGGCCCATGGGCCTCTTGTTTGTAAAATTTCACATTTTAATCTTTTGTCAAATTCAAGAAAACTTGGCAAAGAGTATCCTTGGATAAATGCCATTATGGGATTTAAGTTTATTCAAATGAAGGCCCACTCCTCTTCAAATGGAAGATTACTACAAATAAGAGAAAAATTAAGGACATCTTTTAAAAATCTTCTTTTCAAGAACCACTGAGACAGGAAAGAGACACTTATGTGGCATCATCCTCAGGTAGTGTAGATTCAAAATTAGTCAAATCAAGACCCCATGTTGGTGTCAGAATAGGGGATCAAAAATATATATAATACTGTAGATTCCTTATTTTTCGCAAGTAATTATCGCGAATAGGCTTTTCACCGTCAAATCACAAGAATGATAATTCGCAAATGCATGGTTGGCTAAGAGATTTTAGGTGAGCATATTGCCCATTGGCCACTAGTTTATTTTATAAATCTTCTCACTTGGTATAAAGTGCAAGTGATCCCCTTTTGGTGTCTGTTAATTTTTATCTTTTTAAGAGGAATACTTTTAAGGCTCATGAACAGGATCCTGAAGTGAGGAGGACTCCCTCTCTCATTGAACTGCATACAGCAGCAGAAAGCAGGGTAAGATTCAGATTTTACTTCTTGTATCTTTGCTTGCCTATTGATGTTGGATGTACCAAGCTTTAACATCTGGACCTTCAATTGACAGATTTCAGTTCCCTTTTGATTCAGAAGAGGAACAACAATGGAGGACCAAGGTCATCAATATAAGAAGAGTCTATTCCTGTCTGTGTTTTGCAGGTATTATGTTTCAAAAGTGGTAAGCAACAAGCTGCTTTTTACTGAAGCTTCTCACTTGGTATGAAGTGCAAGTGTTTCCCCTTTTATGTCTCAGAAGAAAGTTAAGGCTGACTAGGAATTCTAAGTGAGGAAGAGTCCCTTTCCCATTCCGCTGCAGCCATGAGGAGAATACTCGTAAGAATCAGACTTTACTTCTTTTTTACCTATGGAACTTCATCATGACCCACTTTAACAGGCAGGAGTCTTACAAGTATTTTTTATTTAATTATTTCTGACATACCTTTGTCCTCCCTACTCTAAAGTAACTATGCTTTCCTCTCCTTGCCCCAATATTCCACCTTATTCCTAGGTATCATAACCTTATTGTCTTTATTTGCTTTTTGATTTTCAAGCTAATAATGTAATGATTATGTTCATTTGAATTTCTGTGATTATTACATTGCTTTGTATTATTGCTTATCTTCTCTCCATCAAGTATTTTCAAGGAATTTGACAAGGGAAGAGGACCAGTGCTGACCAAGTGAAGAAAAAGAAGAGTCTATTGCCAAGCTTTGTACAGCAGCCAATATCTGATTAAGGAGTGGGTAAAAAGATTTATTTTTTGCAATTTACAAATTTTCTTTATACACTTATCAAATCATAGGTCTAGGGGGATTTACTTCTGCTGCACAACAGCAAGACTGTGTTGCAATAACAATAGGGCATCCCGAGGATGTGTTGTTTCAAATTACTTTACATCATGATCCCTTTGGACTAGGATTATTAAAAAAATATGAATTAAGAATTTTTCTTTTGATGACAAAGTCAAGGTGACTCAGGTGAACTTTTTGGCACAAGGTATTTTTGTTCATGTTTTTTCATTATCAAGTAGAAGATGAGACTGATCTCAATCAGTTAACAAGAATGTGGAAAGTAAGGACTTACTACTGTCTAACCTAAACATTGATGGTTAGTCAGATCAGATGCATGTAAAGCTCTAGACCTTGCATTATGTAATTTGGAGGAGATTTTGCTTGGATTCTTTAGTCTTTTTGTTAATAGGCAGACGGTTATGCTGGCATTGATCCTGTTTCAAAAAGCAGATCAACATGATTCCTCAAGACTCCAAAGAGATCAACTATGGGACCTGAAAATAAAGGTAAGACGCAAAATCCTTCTATTCTGTAAAAATATGTTAGCTATTTTTCATTTATTAAGATTTTATTAATATTTATGTTGAGTCCTTGTGATTTCTTTTTTTACAGGCAGACTGCCATCAATTTCATGTTTCTTTGATAGCAGACAAATATGCTTCAACAATAGTGCAGAGAGTAATTTAAGGTTTGGACTGCAAGTGATGGACACACTAAATAACTCAACTCAAAGAATTCAATGGATAATGCTGAGAACTTATTATATATCTACAAAGTGATGGGCACACTAAATAGCTTAACTGACAGAATTCAATGGACCGTGCTGAGAACATTGTTATATGTCTACAAAGTGATGGGCACACTAAATAGCTTAACTGACAGAATTCAATGGACCGTGCTGAGTACATTGTTATATGTCTACAAAGTGATGGGCACACTAAATAGCTTAACTGACAGAATTCAATGGACCGTGCTGAGAACATTGTTATATATCTACAAAGTGATGGGCACACTAAATAGCTTAACTGACAGAATTCAATGGACCGTGCTGAGTACATTGTTATATGTCTACAAAGTGATGGGCACACTAAATAGCTTAACTGACAGAATTCAATGGACCGTGCTGAGAACATTGTTATATGTCTACAAAGTGATGGGCACACTAAATAGCTTAACTGACAGAATTCAATGGACCGTGCTGAGAACATTGTTATATATCTACAAAGTGATGGGCACACTAAATAGCTTAACTGACAGAATTCAATGGACCGTGCTGAGAACATTGTTATATGTCTACAAAGTGATGGGCACACTAAATAGCTTAACTGACAGAATTCAATGGACCGTGCTGAGAACATTGTTATATATCTACAAAGTGATGGGCACACTAAATAGCTTAACTGACAGAATTCAATGGACCGTGCTGAGAACATTGTTATATGTCTACAAAGTGATGGGCACACTAAATAGCTTAACTGACAGAATTCAATGGACCGTGCTGAGAACATTGTTATATGTCTACAAAGTGATGGGCACACTAAATAGCTTAACTGACAGAATTCAATGGACCGTGCTGAGAACATTGTTATATATCTACAAAGTGATGGGCACACTAAATAGCTTAACTGACAAAATTCAATGGACCGTGCTGAGTACATTGTTATCTACAAAGTGATGGACACACTAAATAGCTTAACTCACAGAATCCAATGGACAGAGTTGAGTATGTACTAATATCTACAAAGTGATGGACACAGTAAACAGCTTAATTCTCAGGATTCAGTGTACCATGCTGAGTACATAACTCATTAAGGATAACTCATATGACATCCACAGCAGATCACTCAAAGTTGTTTTACTACATTATTGTACAACTTTTCATATACTACGTTATTTTTATGCGCCTGGATTGATAGATCCCGGGCGTATATTATTTTTATCCTGTCTGTTTGTCTGTTTGTCTTTCTGTCTGTTGTCAACTTTAACCTTCGCCATAACTTTTGAACCATAAGAGATAGAGACTTCATATTTGGTATGCGTACTCCACTAATAAAGTCCTTTCAAATGACATCAAGGTCAATGACCTTGTGACCTTGGCTGTGACCTATACACTAAAAATAGCTTTTTCCACTGTTTGCCATAACTTTTGAACCATAAGAGATAGGGACTTCATATTTGGTATACTTACTCCACTAATAAAGTCCTTTCAAAAGACGACAAGGTCAATGATTTTGTGACCTTGACTGTGACCTATATGCTAAAAATAGCTTTTTCCACTGTTTGCCATAACTTTTGAACCATGGGAGATAGGGACTTCATATTTGGTATACTTACTCCACTAATAACTTCATTTCAAATGACATCAAGGTCAATGACCTTGTGACCTTGGCTGTGACCTATATGCTAAAAATAGCTTTTTCCACTGTTTGCCATAACTTTTGAACCATAGGAGGTAGGGACTTCATATTTTGTATACTTACTCCACTAATAAAGTCCTTTCAAACGATGACAAGGTCAATGATCTTGTGACCTTGACTGTGACCTATATGCTAAAAATAGCTTTTTTCTCTGTTTGCCATAACTTTTGAACCATAGGAGATAGAGACTTCCTATGTAGTATGCATACTCCACCGATTAAGTTCTTTTAAATGACACCAAGGTCAATGACCTTGTGACCTTGACTGTGACCAATATGCTTAAAATAGATTTTTCGAACTTTGTTGCCGCCGGACGCATAGTGTTTCACAAACACATCTTGTTTCTGAATGGTTTTTTTTGTATCTGTATATTATATTTTTTAATTTAGAAAAGTTAAAGATTAGATTTTTAAGCAAAAATATCAAGAGAGGTACTGTAAACGTATTACATTTGGCTGTGTATTCTTTTTAGCGCCTTTCGCGGAAAGCAGCCTCCGCTAAATCAAGTACATCACTAAATGCTTTGTGTATAAAGGTTTATGTAACGCACATTCAAAAAACGCTAAATCCAATCTACGCTAACTTGTTGAAAATTCAATTTCCGCCAAATATCGTACACGCCAAATATAATACATTTACAGTAAATCAGTGCTTGTCTGAATATCTAAGCTTAAGAGAAAGGGAGGTAATTTTTTTATTGTGAATCCTTGTCCAGAGCATATGCTTTCTCCCCTTGGTCCAATGTGGCTAATACTTCTCTCACAGAGTGCCACTGGTCAATGGATATGTAGTGACCTTGAACAAAGTTTCTAGGCCAAGAGTCGAGGTTAAAACCCCTTTCAGTTACTTTACATTTTTATGTTCATTGCTGAAAGTGGGACCATTTGAGATGCCCACCATCTCAATGATATCTAATTTTAGTTTGAAAATTGCTAATAAAGATAAAGTGATCTCATTGTAACATCATTATTTTTTAGTGTTTTAGATTATAAATAAATATAACAATATGCAAAATCTAAATTCTTTTATATTTTCTCTCCTTTGATTTACATAGCAGGCCTTGCAGTTTTTAGCTCATATGAGATTTTCTGATCACCTGTTGTCCATCGTCCATCCGTCTGACTGTCCATTCATCTGTAAACTTTTCACATTTTCAGCTTATTCTTGAGAACCATTGGGCCAATTTTGACCAAACTTAGTGCAAAACATCCTTGGGTATTGGGATTTTAAATTATAAAAATAAAGTCCCTTTCCGAGGGGAAATTGTCAAGAATATACAAAAATAGGGTGGGGTCATAAAAAAATCTTCTCAAGAACCACTGGGCCAGAAAAGCTAAAACTTCTGTGGAAGCATCCTGGGGTAGTGTTACTAGTGTAGATTCTAAATTGCTTGGATCATGACCCCTGGGGATTGGGAAAGGTCAAGATAGGTATTAGGGGGAAATCTGTTTAATAACATAATGGCCAAAGTTACTCAGGTGAGTGATGTGGCCCATGGGCTTCTTGCTTATCTAATTTAGTTTTATCTTTGTATGCAACACTTTTTCCTTCTTTTAGTTGTTACTGAGGTTCTAAGTAATTTAAGTTTTTTATGAAATATTTTTCCTTGTCAAGTATCTATAAGCATGTTCTACTTCATACACAAGTAGTATATGAAGATTTAAAATTTCTAGATGTTTCATATTTTTTTCAATTTTTCTTGAAAAGCATAACTGATGTACATGTAATTGTAAAAACTGTGTTTGTCCCTTGTGATACATGATTAATTTATGTCAGTTTGAATTTATCATATATATTAAAATACACTATTATACAGTCTGTTTGTCATGGAATTAAACTTGTTGAGTTTTTATTCCACCTCTATAATTGAAGATTTGGGGGCATATTTTGATAAACTGTCTGTCTGTTTATGTGTCTCCAAATTTACTAATTTTTACTACCCATGGCCATTCCTTTTGAACTTTTTTTAACCTTTAAGTTAGACTTTGACCTACTTTGGTAAAAAAAAAAAATGATGTGAATGATTAGTGCTAGGGCTTTCATATTTCAAATGTGTATTCCTTGTAATGAAACTTCTCTTTTTACCCCAAACAAAGGAAGTTTTAGGGATATACAGGAATCACATTGTCTGTGAATGTAATTTTGTCTAGGCTTTAACTTTGATATATGGAAACATTGGAAGCTTATACTTGTTATAGAGCTTGCTTGTAATGACCCGACAGTGAGTCCTGATCTGACACAAGGTCATTCCTGCAAGTTCAAGGTCACTGGCCTAAAAGTATGAAATTTTTGTCTGGGTCATAACTTTGTAGAAAGAATCACTGGAAGCTCAAACCTGGTACAGGGATTGCTTATGACCCAAAAATGTGTCATGATCTTATCCAGTCATTCCATTTAGTTCAAGGTTACTAGTAGAAAAAAGGTATGACATAACTTGACTTTGTAATGAAGAGTCAGTGGAAGCTCATACTCGGTACAGATATTGCTTATGATCAAAGAATATGCCTTGACCTTTATCCAATGTCATTTTGGCGATTTCAAGGTCACTGCTAGAAAAAAGAAAAAAAAATGTCTCGGCTAAAACTTTATTTGGAAAAGAATTGGTACAGGTATTGTTTTTGAAATAAGGAAAGTTCTTATTTTAATCCAGTGTCAATGCAGCAAGTTCAAAGTTACAGGCAGAATAGTGTAAAATTATTTTTTTAAGACTTTAACTTAACAATTAATGTAGAAATACTAGGAGCTCATACTTAATACAAAGATTGCTCATTGGAACCTGATACAGGTACTGTTTATGAACTTAAGGAGTGTCATGACTTCAATTCAAAGTCAAATAGCAAGTGAAAGGTTGGTGGTATAAGAATTAAAAATTATGACAAGCCTTTATTATCTGATGGAGAAATATCTGTACGTATGCACGATGATTCACTTAAAGTTTACTAATGATCAAAGTATATGTGAATTTTGACTAGTCTCAGTCTTTTTGGCAAGAAATTGAAATGAAATGGCAAATTGAACAAAAAAAATTCATTTTGGACCAATCCCGATCAAAATAAAACCATAATGAATAAAATAACAATTTATTGCCTTCTTTATTGTCCCTTGCTTTAGCGAAAGCGAGGGGACATTAAATCTCATTCGTCTGTCCGTCCGTCAAAAAAACTTTAACCTGCCCATTATTTTTGATTTAGTGGAGCTATGACTTTCATATTTCACTTGTGTGTCCCTTGTGAGAAGACCTTTCTTTGGGTACCACCATATTTGACCTATTGACCTAGACCTTGGAGTTTGACCCACTTTTACACAAAAAATCCAAACTTTTACTTTGGCCATATCTTTTGAATAGTAGAAACTAGGAATTTCATATTTCACATATGCATTTTTTGTGTCAAGGCCTTTCATTGGATACCAACAATTTTGACCTTTTAACCTTAACCTTAGAGACCTATGAAAAAACTTTTACCTTGACCATAACTTTTGAATGGAAAGGGCTAGGGCTATCGTACTTCACATATGTAATCGTTGTGAAAAGACCTTTCATTGGATACCAAGAACTTTGACCCTTTGACCTTGACCATGGATATTGACCTAATTTTCAAAAACTTTGACCATGGCCACAACTTTTGAACGGTAGATACTACATGTAGGACTTCATATTTTTGCACATATGTATTTTTTGTCGCAAGACCTTTCATTGGATACCAACAACTTTGACCTTTTGACGTTGGAGATTTCCGTACTTATGAAAAAACTTTAACCTTGATCATATCTTTTGAATGGTAGAAACTAGGACTTACATATTTCACATATGTATTTTTTGTGGCAAGGCCTTTCATTGGATACCATTCTGACATTTTGACTTTGACCTTGGAGATTTCCGTACTTTTGAAAAAAAAGTTTAACCTTGACCATAACATTTGAACGGTAAGGGCTAAGGCTTTCATACTTCACATATGTAATCCTTATGAGAAGACCTTTCATTGGATACCAAGAACTTTGACCCTTTGACCTTGACCTTGGAGATTGACTTACTTTTCCAAAACTTTAACCTTGGCCATAACTATTGAACGGTTAAGGTTAGGGTTTTCATCCTTCACATATGTATTACTTGTGACCTTTTTAAAGAAATCAACAACTCAGATCCTTTCACCTTGGAGTTTGACCTACCTTTCAAAAATGCATCCTTGGCCATAACTTTCTTTTGAACAGGGGGGTGGGATTTTGTATTTCACAATCGTATTTCTTGTCAGAAAACCCT